TGCTTTTGGTCTCATGCATGTCCATATATCTATCGCCATGTTTTGGATTTACATGTACACGTATGTCTGTATGGAAGAAATAAGTATGGACTGCAGGTGAGCGGTCTGAGGTCGAGAGGGCCAGGTCTCTCTCGCTCATGACGTCACGTGGTGTTAGTCCAAGGAATTCGGCTCTAATATACTCCAGAATGCCGCTCAAATAAAATAAATCATGTTTATTCTTATTGCGGTTTTTTTTTCTTTCTTTTTTTTCTTACAGATTATTAGTTATATTTACAGATATGCCTCATTAAGTATAATGACATTCCTCCGGCTATGAACCGAGGCTACTGTAAGAATGGAGGTTAATATCGACATAAAAATTTCCCATTAGAGTAATAGGAAAACGGTTTTGCTCCATGCGCCAGTCCGTCACAATCACAGAGAGAGAGAGAGAGACAGAGACAGAGAGAGAGAGAGAGACAGAGACAGAGAGAGAGAGAGATAAAGTGCCAGATGCTCTATTTGTACTGACGAGTACTGTTTTTTTTTATTGAGACAGAAGGTTACATCTCAAAAGGATGTGGTAACGTAGGTTATTCTCACCCTTATCTTGATAAATCCCTGTGTGGGCTCACAGTTCTCCTACAAAAAAAATAGGTGTATTACCAGATAACATAGAATATAAAAGCAAAGATATTGAGTCATGGTCTATAAAAGAGAAAGTTCGTGCGCACACACAGATAAGCTGTGAGGTACCGTAGGCGACCCGTGTGTGCAGCTGTTATTTACGAAGGACAGGCACTCAGGTCATCCCCGGTCAGGTTAACTGTTCTTTGTCGTACATATTTTGTGAAATCCGCTGTCTCTGAAGTCTAGACAATAATGTTATAAGGCTCCACTATGCTTTACCTTGCCTTTCCATTCTTCCAGCATATCATTAAGCTTTGCCAAGTTTTTTCAATTTCCCATCGATCCAAGAGTTTTTCTTTTTCGTGATCGTTGTACTCCACACTTGCTGTTATTTTTCTTTCCTTCCCTCTAATAACTATCTCACTTTCTGGATCTTGCTCCTTCGCAGAAATACATGTTTGTTTCGTTTCTGTGTCTTTAGTCGGAGTTTCTTTCGATGCCTCATCCCTCTCTTTCTGTTTTTTTTCGTTTCTTCGCTGGGCCAGTTTCCTTTCGATAGCGTCCATTCTCTGCATCAGCGTCTGGAACAACCTGGTAATTTCGGATATTTCCTTAGAAAAATCCGCACCACTTCCTTCACTTCCTGCGCCTGTCTGTCCTGCCCGTGATCACCACCCGCGGAGGGCCCTGCACCCAGGCATTAGGGACTGCAGCTGCCTCCTCCCTCGGCACCTCTGGCCGCGTGGTGACCGGCCTTTTTCCATTTTCTCCTTCCTTGGGGACCGCCGAAGCAATCTTGATTTGTGGCCTCACCCTGCATGCAGGAGACCCGGCATTGTGGCGGCCTCCGCAGTTGCAGCAGCAAGGCGTAACCCTTTCTCCCTTTCCAATCTTGGCCCGGCAGACCCTTGAGTCATGTGTCCTGCCACAGAACCTGCATCGAGCATCCTGTTGACAGGCCCACGACTTGTGTCCCCACCTGCAGCACTCCACATACGGTGCGACCCTCCTGTACCCCGCTCCAGAGATGAATACCTTCTCTGGCACTTCCCCCTTCACAAGGGCAACGAGCTGACTCCGCTCCTCGCCCCTGGACGTGTGCCGCCTTACCCACACAAATCTATCGTCGGCCAGCAGGAAGTCCGGGTCTAATATGGTGGGATATCGGAAAATGATCACCTTGGTGAACTTTTCCCCAGCCTTTGGGACAGTCATCACTGTCCCCTTGTAGTCCTGAGTCGTCAGCGCGTCTGCCTGGCCTGCCCGCACCGTGAGATACGGCCTTCCTTTTCCTTCCTTCATCACTGGCTCGAAATCAGCGTGGTCCCGACCCAGTTGCATGGCCCACCTTAATCTTTAAAAACAAAGGCGCAGTCCTGTGGAAATAGCAGTCTTTTCCTGCCGTTCACATCGGCAACATTCTGGTCTGCTGCTTCGTTTCATTCGTTCTTCTTCCTCTTCTCCCGCTCGCATCCATTCTCGCCACTCGTGTCTACGCTTCCATCACTTCTGACCCTCTTATGGGATCCACTCCCACTAGCAACACCAGCCATGCTGATACCTTGGTAGGAGGTGACCCGCTCCCCGTCCGAGGTCAGATAGGGGCGGGGACCTCACGTCTGAGAAAGAGAGAAGGAGAGATATATGCAAAAATAGATGGAGGGAGAGAGAAAGGCAGACAGGCAGAGAAAGAAAGGAATAGAGAGGGAAATTATAATAATAAGAACCTAAGCTAGGACCCGTTTACGAGGATCAGCAAACGTCATAGGCCCGTTGAGAACCACGGATCCTGTACTTGGTTTATGGGATGCAATAAAGTGCACTGATAATACAGAAAAAAATGCCACTCTGTTATGCCTTCAAGCTCTTTGTACAACCAAGGCCAGATGATAACAGTTCTGGTGCCGTCCTCTTGCCCTCCTGCCTTTGTTCTCTGCTGCCTTTGCTGCTTGCTGCCTGCTTGCTGCCTTTGCTGCCCTCTTGCCCTCCTGCCCTGCCCTCTTGCCCTCCTGCCTTTGCTGCCCTCTTGCCCTGCCCTGCCCTGCCTCCTGCTTTGCCCTCTTGCCCTCATGCCTTTGCTGCCCTCTTGCCCTCCTGCCTTTGCTGCCCTCTTGCCCTCCTGCCCTGCCCTCTTGCCTGCCCTGCCCTCTGCCCTCCTGCCCTTGCCCCTCTGCCTTTGCCGCCCTCTTGCCCTCCTGCCTTTTTGCCTCCCTGCCCTCTTGCCCTGCCCTGCCTCTGCCCTTGCCTGCTGCCCTCTTGCCCTCCCTTTGCCGTCCTCTTGCCCTCTTGCCACTTTGTGCCCTCTTGCCCTCCTGCCTTTGCTGCCTCTTGCCCTCCTGCCTTTGCTGCCCTCTGCCCCTGCCCTGCCCTCCTGCCTTTGCTGCCCTCTTGCCCTCCTGCCTTTGCTGCCCTCTGCCCTTGCTGCCCTCTTGCCCTCCTGCCTTTGCTGCCCTCTTGCCCTTGGCCTGCCTCCTTGCCCTTCTGCCTCTTGCCCTCTGCCTTTGCTGCCCTCTTGCCCTCCTGCCTTGCCGTCCTCTTGCCCTCCTGCCTTGCTGCCCTTTTGCCCTCTGCCTTGCTGCCCTCTGCCCTCCTGCCTTTGCCGTCCTCTGCCCTGCTGCCTTTGCTTGCCTCCTGCCCTTCCTCTTGCCCTCCTGCCTTTGCTGCCCTCTTGCCCTCCTGCCTTTGCTGCCCTCCTGCCTTGCCGCTTTGCCTCCTGCCTTTGCCGTCCTCTTGCCCTCCTGCCTTTGCTGCCCTCTTGCCCTCCTGCCTTTGCCGTCCTCTTGCCCTCCTGCCTTTGCTCCTGCCTCTTGCCCTCTTCTCCTGCCTTTGCTGCCCTCTTGCCCTCCTGCCTTTGCTGCCCCTGTGCCTTTGCCTCCTCTTGCCCTCCTGCCTTTGCCTTTGCCCTGCCTTTGCTGCCTCTGCCCTCCTGCCTCCTCTTGCCTCCTGCCTTTGCCGCCTCTTGCCCTCCTGCCCTTGCCCCTCTTGCCCCCTGCCTTTGCCCCTCTTGCCCTCCTGCCTTTTTGCCTCTTGCCCTGCCCCTTGCCTTGCTGCCCCTCTTGCCCTCCTGCCTTTGCCTTTGCCCTCTTGCCCTCCTGCTTGCCCTCTTGCCCTCCTGCCTTTGCCGTCCTCTTGCCCTCCTGCCCTTCCGCCCTCTTGCCCTCCTGCCTTTGCCGTCCTCTTGCCCTCCTGCCTTTGCTCCTGCCTCTTGCCCTTCCGCCCTCCTGCCTTTGCCGCCTCTTGCTCCTGCCTTTGCCTCCTCTTGCCCTCCTGCCTTTGCTCCTGCCTCTTTGCCCTTCCGCCCTCCTGCCCTTCTGCCTTTGCTCGTCCTCTTGCCCTCCTGCCTTTGCGTCCTCTTGCCCTCCTGCCTTTGCCTCCTCTTGCCCCTCCTGCCCTTCCGCCCTCTTGCCCTCCTGCCTTTGCCCCCTCTTGCCCTCCTGCCTTTGCCTGCCCTTGCCCCTCCTGCCTTCCGCCCCTTGCCCTCCTGCCTTGCCGCCCTCTTGCCCCTCCTGCCCTTCCGCCCTCTTGCCCTCTTGCCTTCCTCCTCTTGCCCTCCTGCCCTTCCTGCCCTTCTTGCCCTCTGCCTGCCTTCTGCCCTCCTGCCCTCCTGCCCTCTTGCCCTCCTTGCCTTTGCCCTCTTGCCCTCTGCTCTTTCCCCTTGCCATCTCGCCCTCGGCCTGTGTCGGCCGACGCACGTAATTTGCTTGGGTTAATTCAGAGCGACTTGTGTATCTCTCTCTCTTACTCTCATTCTCTTTCTCTATTTCTATCTCTTTCTCTCTCTATCTCCATCACTCTCTCTCTCTCTCTCTTCTCTCTCTTTTCCCCTCCTTCCCCTCTTCTCTCTCCCCTCTTCCATTCTTCTCTACTCTCTTTTTTCTTTCTCCATTTCTCTGTATATATGTATGTATATATATATATATATATATATATATATATATTATATATATATATATATATGTATATGTGTATGTATGTATGTATGTATGTATGTATATGTGTGAGTGTGTGTGTGTGCACATATACACACGCACACACACATATATGTATATGTTGCGCGCGTGCGTGCGTGTGTAAATATATATCTGTATATAATAGTGTCCGTCTGACCCCCCCCCCCTCCCCCGCAGGTCCCTCGCCTCGGACCGCGACTCGTACCTGCAGTTCCACCAGTGGCGCCGCCAGTTCGAGGTGGTCCAGGAGCACGGCTACTTCGGGGCGCCCGTCTACCACTACTGCCGCATCTGCGAGGCCCTCAACTACAACGACTGAGCCGAAGAGAGCAACGCCATGGAGGTACTGAGCGTCGGCGGCCAGTGCAAGCCGCCGAGGTGGCTGGCGAGAGTGGGAGGAAGGGCCCTGGGGGGACACGGGGGACACGGGAGGGGTTCTAACTTCGGATGAAGGTTGGCACATGCCCCTCTCAGCCCCCCCCCCCCCTCCTCTCTCTCTCTCTCTCTCTCTCTCTCTCTCTCTCTCTCTCTCTCTCTCTCTCTCTCTCTCTCTCTCTCTCTCTCTCTCTCTCTCTCTCTCTTTATCGGTCTTTCTTTCCACGAGTGCATGTCCTTCTGTAAGTGTAGTAGATATGCACACCGGCCACTAATCACTCATTGAGAAGCCCAGTGTATAGCGCTCTTATTGCTCAGCGTTCCAGGATGTATTGGTCTCATAATGTTTTTATTCGAATTACTAGAAACCCTTAATAAGTCAATATATGTAAAGACGAAAGGGTGCATTGTTGCTCTATTTTTTGTTCTTGTTGTTGTCGCTTTCACCGTGATAAGATATCTGTTCTGTCTCAAAAAATGTATGCAACGCCTATTGTCCTACTTTTAAATTCTAATTTTGTTTTATTCATACCTTTGCCTTTAAAACCGCAGACTGGATTTGTTATCGTAGTGTCCCATTTTTTCTGCTCTTTCTCTTTTTTATTTGTAACCAGACGTCTTTTTTCAATAAAGCTATTCTTAAAAATGCTTGCCGTAAGATTCTGTTTATTTTGTAGCTTTCCACCTAATCGAAATCGAGATGTTTGTGAATTATTAGTCCTCGTTATCAGTTTTCCCGAGAAAAAAAAAAAAAAAGTTCACGCCTTTCTTTGGTTCAGCGGAATCGAATCGTGTCATCAAACTTATAACCCAGACTCATAAACCATTCGAATCCACTGCCTCCCCACCCCTCCTCGCGCTTATAATCATCTCTTTGACCAATCACACAAGGACTTTTTCCGTCAGTTTATGGAGTTCCGTCTGAATTTGAGGCTTTCCGCAAGGATCGTCTGCAAACGGAACGCTTCCCAGACCAAGACGGTTACGACCGTTTCCGTCTGACTAATTTCCGTGTTGATCCTGTGCTATTAATGAATTAGATAGGATGAGTGAATGTAAACATGTTAATATTTTAGAACATTCGTATATACAATATACATCATCATATTTCTTTAAAATAACGTAATGTGTATAACAATGTCCGTGTGATTCCCGGGACCTCACCCCGACAACGCCATGTTTGTTTACATGATTTACACAAGGAGTTCATTCGGAAACGCAAAAAATCGACGGAAAAAAAAATACTAGTGTGATCAAGGTCTATATAAGTACTTTATATAGACCTTGAGTGTGGTGGTGCCTTAAAACGGAGGCTCTTTTCACTGGACACGATGGCCAGGTGTCCCATAAGTGCGTTTGCCACAGAGGGTGAAATGGATACACTTCAATGGCTTCATTAGCTTCAGAGTCCTCGTGTTTCTAACAAATGTGTAATGTGAATATGAATACAAGTTCACTCACATCAAAAAGAATAAAATGGAGAAAGATTAGAAAAATAATAGTAGTGCTATCAGAGGAAAGGTAATATTCTAAGAATGCGAATGAGACTGACAAATTAATTTCCGTATTTGGATGCAGGATTACTCTTGTTGCATTTGCAACAGGAGACTTATATATATATATATATATATATAATATATATATATATATATATATATATATATATATATATATATATGTATGTATGTATGTATGTATGATATATATATACATACACATATACACGTATATATGTATATATATACACATACACACACACACATATATACACATACACACTCACACACATACATGTATACATATACACAACCACACACACACACACACACACACACATATACACACACACACACACACACACAATGTATATATATATATACACACCACACAGACACACACACACACACACACACCACACACACACATATATATATATATATATATATATATATATATATATATAATATATATATATATATATATATAATTATATATATATATATATATATATATATATATATATATATATATATATATATATATACATACACGTACACACACACACACACACACACACACACACACACACACACACACACACACACACACACACACACACACACATATATATATATATATATGTGTGTGTGTGTGTGTGTGTGTGTGCGCGCGCGCTCGTGTGTGTATATGTATATATACATAATGTATATATATATATATATATATATATATATATATATGCATTCAGATGTCTCACACATACACGCACAAACTCAGGGAATTGCAGGTGTTCGCAGCTCTCCGTCAGATCTTAATGAGGGCGCTTGTTACAGCCCAGAGCCGCCACTAGTTAAAATCATTGTAGAGTTTTGAAATAGGAAATCGCCTGAATTATGCAATTAGGTCGATTTATAATATTCTTCGTGAGGGAATGAGAATTTTTTTTCGTTTTTTGGGGGTCCACTACAAACACGATCGGCACAGATGTTTTATACATTAACTATCAGCTATTACTATTAACTATTAACTATTACTAAATCCCACATGATTTGATTGAGTATCTGTTTTCTTTCCAGATATAGTTCGTAATCATGAATAGTGTAATGGTGCCACGAGCTAGAGCAAGAACACCATACGGAATGCTTCCAATTTACTGATACGTGATCAGAAATAGTTGTATTTTTTTATATTGCTTCCCGGAGAGTATTCTATCGCAGTTGGTTGTGAAACCCTTAGCTAGATGATATATTATGATTTCTCATACAGAAGAAATAGTATGGATGGTATAATTTTTTTTACGTAGTGTTGGGAAACAGAGTGTGTGTGTGGAATGTGTCTGTGTGTGCGGAATATTATCGCATTCGGTTCAGATGTAAAAATTCGACAAACGCAAAGAAATTTCAATAAGAACAATTTTCAGGACACTTTCATATACAAAATATGTAAATGATTTTGCTATTGTTAACGACAAACAGCGTCTAATTTTGGAATTTTATGCACGGAATAACATCTACTTTTGTGTCTCGAAAATATAGCGCATATAGCAGATACTCCCCGCTTAATTAATAATAATAATGATAAATAAATAATAATAATAATAATAATAATAATAATGATAATAATAATAATAATAATAATAATAATAATAGTGATAATAAAAATGCGCTATTAATGATGGTAATTATGGCTATCATAATCATGATGATAATAAGAATAATGATGATAATGATAATATTGAAGAGGATAGTGATAATAAGGATGATGATATTTTGATGATAATTGTACTAATAATTATAATAATTATGATAATAATTGTACTAATAATAATGATAATTATGATAATAATTGTACTAATAATGATAATCATGGCTATCATAATCATGATAAGGAGAATGATGATAATGATATTGAAGAGGATAGTGATAATAATTGTACTAATAATGATAATGATTGTACTAATAATGATAATAATTGTGATAATTGTACTAATGATAATAGTTATGATAATCATAATCATAATAATGGAAGGAATGATGATGATGATGATAATATTAAAGATGATAATAATAACAAGTATGATGATAATTATGATTATAATGATAATGATAATGATTATGATATTGACAACAGCAATATTAATAATGGCAATACCAACAATAACAATGATAATATCAACAAAAATAATAACAATAATAATGATGATAATGAGAACAATTACAACAATAATGATAACGGTTATACCAACTGTAATAGTAATAATGAAAATAGAGAAACAGGCAACTGCCATTATATATTCCTTGTAAGTTTTGTCGTTATAGAAATATAACAATAGTCTTCATCTTTATTCGATAGGATATGTCCAATCTTTTATGTATAAAAAGTCACATCATTATCATATTCTCTCATTCCTTATGTTCTCAGCTGTTACTTCCCGGGGTAACAATTTTGACATAATCTCTCTCGCTTCATTTACGAAACAAGGTAGGCCTATTGTACCCCCACTTCATTTACGAAACAGGCCTATTGACACTTCATTTACGAAACAAGGTAGGCCTATTGTACCCCACTTCATTTACGAATCAAGGTAGGCCTATTGTACCCCACTTCAATTTCGAAAGAAGGTAGGCCTATTGTACCCCCACTTCATTTACGAAACAAGGTAGGTCTATTGTACCCCTACTTCATTTACGAAACAAGGTAGGCCTATTGTACCCACTTTATTTACGAAACAAGGTAGGCCTATTGTACCCAATTTCATTTACGAAAGAAGGTAGGCCTATTGTACCCCACTTCATTTACGAAACAAGGTAGGCTATTGTACTTCATTTACGAAACAAGGTAGGCCTATTGTTCATTTACGAAACAAGGTAGGCCTATTGTACCCCACTTCATTTACGAAACAAGGTAGGCCTATTGTACCCACTTCATTTACGAAACAAGGTAGGCCTATTGTACCCCACTTCATTTACGAAACAAGGTAGGCCTATTGTACTTCATTTACGAAACAAGGTAGGCCTATTGTACCCCCCTTCATTTACGAAACAAGGTAGGCCTATTGTACCCCCACTTCATTTACGAAAAAAGGTAGGCCTATTGTACCCACTTCATTTACGAAACAAGGTAGCCTATTTGTACCCAATTTCATTTACGAAACAAGGTAGGCCTATTGTACCCCACTTCATTTACGAAACAAGGTAGGCCTATTGTACCCCACTTCATTTACGAAACAAGGTAGGCCTATTGTACCCCACTTCATTTTAGGCCTATTGTACCCCACTTCATTTACGAAACAAGGTACCTATTGTTACGAAACAAGTAGGCCTATTGTTTGTACCCCCCCTTCATTTACGAAACAAGGTAGGCCTATTGTTCCCCACTTCATTTACGAAACAAGGTAGGCCTATTGTACCCCACTTCATTTAGCCTATTGTAACTTCATTTACGAAACAAGGTAGGCCTATTGTACGAGGTAATTGTGTAGCCCCACTTCATTTACGAAACAAGGTAGGCCTATTGTACCCCCACTTCATTTACGAAAGAAGGTAGGCCTATTGTGCCCCACT